ATACATCTATATTTGCTTTCTCTATTAACATCACATTCCTAAAATTAAATCACTCAAGGTTGGTGAAATTACCCAGGACTCATAAATTCTCATATCTAAATAATTCTTTTTTCTTTAAACAATTTCATTTGTTGAGAATCTTGGCATTCATTTTTTGCTGCTTCAAAAGTTGGCATCTTCCTCTGAATGAAAATACTTTCCATAAATCCTTTATCTCCATATTATATATATTATGTACAAACTTCATAAATGAATAAAATATTTGCTTAAAAAGTCCTCCAAATGAAATAAACTCTTTTAACTCTACTAATGTTGGATGAGAAATCAATATTTACTGTTGGAGGAAAAAATTCTTGCCTTACTAAGATGAACTTGAATTTTGACTAAATTTGGTATAAGAAGGTTGTCAGATGAATTGACATCAGTGATTTTTACTTATATGTGACAAATCTATTTTACTACTGTTAAACTGTGGGCTAGAAAGTCTTAAATAACTGCCTAAGGCAATGCAATGAGCTAATGTTTGACCTGGGATTCTTACATGGGTTTGGTAATTCTCAACGCCACTTAAATATTCTGTCTTAACCTTCTGATGGCTTCAAGACATTTTAAACCATCCATGGTCTGAGTCCTAGTTCTAATTATATAATACCTAACTATCACACACAGCACCATGCTTAAAAAGAAATAAATCAAGTGGAAAGCATGTTTATGGAGAAAAGCAGGGTAGACTACCCCCAAAAAATATATTCATGGATTATTTGATAAAGTCAGGCCAGAAGAGCAAAGGATGGTAAAAATAAACGTCATGCTCTAAAACTGAATTTTGCAGATACTTTTCAGCATGATTTTTCTATGTTTCACTTTTCACCGTCAGCTGTGAGCTGTTTCCAAGTGTGAAATCGCCTAACAGAGGAAGCAAAGCTGTCATTTGACATCTGGGAGCGTGGAGATTGGGCTGCAGTGAAAAGCACTTTGGACTTCTTCAATTTACACACATATTCACCTATAAATTCTTGAATCTGAAAAGTATTCAATGAGAAATATCAATGTAAATTTACAGCATTTAAAATTAAAGGCTCCTAATGGGGTGGAAAATAAAAGTGAAGGGCATGCTGACAGGATATCACATCAACATGTTTAAGACTGGAATGGGAAACTTAAATGGCTATGTTAGCATAATAACTAATGTATAAATAATCTTACTCACTTGAGTTAGACTGCATATTAAACTTTCAAATAGTCTTTTGTATCTTATACAGTTAATAGTATAAGTTCTATTTTCCAGCTGCTTATTTATGATGAGAGTCAAAACTGTTAAGAAAAAATACTGGTAGGCAAAGAAAAAAATTACACTCTTGACATCTTATTTTTCATTTATACTTAAAATGCTATAACAAAAATTTATTCTACATTATCAAGTGATAAAACATATAAAATTCTTTGTCTAAAACTGTATGTTTTATGTACAAATAGAAGTAAAAACAGAGTAACTAAAAGGAAGTCCTTTGGAGAAGAATAACCAGTCTACCCCCATTTTTGTTCTATAATCTCTCTCAGTGAAAAGCAGAACCTATCTAAAAGTCTCCTCATAAGGTATCTTTATGGAAACTAGACAGTGTTATATTTATATTGTCATGCCAAACAATCTATTCCTACTTTGTGGACCATTTCTTTTGCTTTTTTCTTTCTGAACTCCATTCTGTGTGTCTGTGGTATAAAAAGAGCCCATTTACCTTGAATGATGTTTATTTAAAATAAAACCTTGCTAGAGAATCACCCTGGATAATCTAAGGATACAAAGTGAACCTAAAAGGAATGGTTTCTACTTTGAAAACAGGGCTGGGTTTGATCAGTGCATTCGTATTCTCAAGACCCTCATGATGGGTCTGCAGCTGCAGCCATTTATGTGCTGGCTTTTTCACAGATGTAGACAAGAGAAAGCGCCATGGTTTTTGTCTTTTTGTTGCTGGATTTGTTTTCTTTAATATTAAAAAAAAGGCGACTTAAAAAAAGTTCTTAGGTTGTAGAAACATATGAATATTGAACTTCCTTGGAAGTATGCATTGTTGAAATGACTAGGACTTTTAAAAATCTAAGATCATAAAGTTGGCAGAAACTATTCTTAAATAACAGAAGGTGATCATTTGCATTTCAAAATTTATCTATCTTGCCTTTCCCTCAATTAGACTAAAACATGTTGATTCACAGGTTTCTGTGTGTGTTTTTTCTGTTTTAAACTTATTTATAGAGCAGAATAATGGCCCCCCTGCTAGTTTGGCATTTGCTCAAGTTTCTGTCCATGTAAATCGAATCTGTTACTGGAAATTTTTCTCAAAATATAGAAGCACATCATCCACAAGATAAAAAAGACACACTGCTGATATTATAAAGTACAGGGCAGGTGGGTGATGTTTTTAGGACAAAAATATGATAAGGATTTCCAGGGGGGGAAGAATGGTAAGGGCCCCATGCTGTTCAAACAAAGGTGAATCGTCCTCATCAGAATCTTGTGACAACTTCACTTTCAAACCAAACATGAGTGCTTAGCAGGCTTTAGAGTTACTTGCATAAAAACACCAAGGTTCGAGCTGGGGTAGGATTTGGGAGGGAACCATTTCAACCCTGGTGTTTCTAAGGGTAGATCAAGAAGTCTAACAACTAGTGATTAGTGAGTTTTAAACACTAATGCACTAACATACTATCATTGTTTCCACCACCCTTTGAGAACAAGGAGGAATAACTACTTGTAGTTTTTATTAGTAGCTCTGCTATTCAGTTTCAAGAAAAACAGTAATTTATAAATTTTTGCTTCAATTTCCCCAGTATTGTAAGCAAATGGTTAGTAACGTGTAGACTTAACTGAGTTCTTTAAGTTTGAGATCTTCTAAATTAGAACATTAACATGACCTTTCTATTAAGACTATGACTGGTTTTGTTTCACCTTGCTGCTTAGGTTAATAGGCCCAAGGACTGGAGAAACTTTCCATACTATTCATGCACACAGTAATACTAGAACACTTCTAGCACAACTAACAAAGCTTGAAGGCAAATCCCTTTATGTAAATAATTACAACAAAGCCTCTTTTTATACTAAAGGTTTGTTGTTGTTGTTGTTGTTGTTTTTCCCCAAATGCTAGTGAAGGACAACCTGAAAAAGGACAGCGAAGGGAAAAAAGAAAAAAAAAAAAAAAAATCCATTAATGGTACACTGCCACCTGCTGATGAACTATGAGAATGGTGATTTCTGAAAAAAGGCTTAAAAATTAGAATTCAAAAACTAATCTGTATTAAACAGATCACAAAATTGAAAGTATGTATCTGTTGATGAATGTATTATGGTTTTGTCCCACATATATTAATGCTCTCAGGATTCCAAGAAGTTATGGCCATTAAAAAAACAGACTGTGCTTGAGACTAAAGAAAAATAATTTGCTTGAATGCTAAAATACCACCTTACTGATAAGGAAATAAGGAGCCAGATATATATATATTATAAGTATTAATAAATATACTTATGTACACTGAAACCTAACATGTAATTTCTTATCAAATTAGAAAGTTGGATGGTGTCTATAAAACTAACAATCAAGACAAACAACTGGTTTTTTGTCCTATTTTGTATTTTATCTAGATACAAGATCCACTGAATTGCTTAGCACCTCACTTTTGCTGAGGCTGGCTTTGAACTTGAAATCCTAGGGTCACAGTCTTCCAAGACCTGTGCCACCCCACCCAATCAGACAGGTAATTGTAATGAATCGATTTCTCTATGAAATTTTTGTTATTCCTTTTACTATATCACACCAATATGTTTTCAAAAATCAGAATCATGTCATCTATTTGAGGGAGAAAAAATTATAGTTTTGTTCTATTGTCTAGGAAAAAATAAAATCAGTCCTAATTTGGAAAAGAATGTGACAGTATTAGTTCCCAATAGTTATTTAAGGAAAGTTTAAGCATATTTTCCTTATAGAATGAAAAACTTTGCTCTTCCTCTTCACTGTAATTCTTAACAATGAAGGTTGTAACTAAAAAATAGTAAATCTCTTTAAATTCAAATTATAATGATTTCCTGTGCAGCAGAGTTAAACAAGATAAGCATCAATACACTGGTAGGCTAGTAAGCATTAAATACTGTAATAACCAACAATCAAATAGATGATGTCAGCATAATCAGTTGAAACTCCTTTGGAAGTAGATGGAGGCTTCTTGGGGGCAGCGGAGGTTGTGGGATAGGGGCACCAGGAGTGAAGAAACTGTAGTCATCCAAAGATAGTAAGTGCTAGGCAAAGCAAACAATCTCTGCATTCAAATATAGCCCAATCCGCAATGATGAGAGAGGAAAAAGTAACTCAAACGTAATTCATATGCTTAACTTACCTAAAATTATCAATCAAGGACTTCAAACCCACAGAAATAAATCTCTTATTTTTAAAAATAAAGACAATACAATAAGGGCAGGAGAAACCTGTTGTGTCAATGTTTGGCTAAATGGGCTATTTTAAAAGAAGAACATGCTTCCTAAATTTTGTTAAATATAGAAAGAATCTTAAAACTGCATTCTAAAATGCCAGGTCTACTCATCACTGAAATCACAATGCATTTTTTAAAATCTTTATCTATTTATAGCCTTAGGAATTTGATCCTTTAGTCAGCTACCTCTAACATCTTAATAAAAATCATCCATGTAAAGAGGGTTAAGATATCTAAAGTTAAGTCACTAGTTAAGTCATTTTAAGGAATTTATTTCAAGTTCTAAGGGATGTATAACCACTTTTTACAAGTAACACACACACACACACACACACACACACACACACATAAAACACACAACCTATATACGATGGTTTTATTCCCCAAATTTTCCTTTTTAGAGGGTTAAAGAGATAACCAAACAATATGTATATGAACTGCTAGTGAAAAATACAACTTTTATAAAGAAAGGAGAGCTGCCGGACCACTTTTTCAAGTGAGACATTTTAGGAGATGGTTCTAACCTGGGGCACAGTACATTCTCTCTATGGCATCGCTGTCACAGGAATCTTCAACCTCACTCCACCTGCTAAAATACGTTAGCTGAATGTGTCCTAAAAACAAAACGACAGGAGAAATCAAAACATTTTTCTCTTCCATTTTCTGCAGAAGTGAACTGTAATTACTCCTTTTGTAGCTAAAAACAGTATCATTAAGAATAATGGCATCATTAAGTACTAGAAGCTATTACTGGGGGTGAATTTGCTGCACTGATAATGAAGCTCTAGACAGGAAATGAAGATACTAATTACAAGATAAAACGCCTACTCAGTTAATTGGAAGCAACAGCGAATAAAAAGAAATGCATTTGCAAAAGTTCCTGACCTCTATCATTCAATAAGATGTTGTTTGGGTTCAAATCGCGGCACACAATTCCCTCTCTATGTAAAGCATCAAGGGCTACCACCATTTCAGCTGCCCATCTTTGAATGCAGCCCTCTGGGATGTAAAACCTGGAGTTTAGTGCTAATTTTTTATCAAGGTCCTCAAAAATCTGATGGATTTCCTTGTCTCCTTCTAGTGCTAACATACTTTCTCCCTTCCTCTCAGAGTCTCTCTGGAATAAACAAGTAGATTCCTCTTTAGCCAAATCATCAGCTTGATCTGTAAACAGCAATACTTCCTCTGTTTTTAAAGTGTCTGTGTTTGCATTGTATTCATTAGCACCTGAGAGGGGATTAGATATATAGAATAAGCTTTCTTCTGTGGTGTTTGCAGTTACTGCCAACTCCGCCACTCGAAGTCCTTGCAACTCAGCATCTGAGCTGGGTAACAAAGGCAGGTCCCCTGAACTACTATGATCAACAGCTGCTACAAATAACACCCCAAGATCCTCCTGCGCATAGTGTGTCTCAGTTATACTACAGGGCTTGGGCCTAGAGTGATCACTCAGTTCCTCTGTGCCTTTTTCTTCAGGGGCCTGGCACTGTTCAGTACTAAGCCTGAGGCACAACACATCCGGGGCTTCCAACAGTTTGCTTTCTACCATGCCCACATTAGTCTGAATAAACTTAGTAGGTCCTGTTCCAGCAGTTTCTTTTGTTGGCTCCAGTTCACCAGGGAGATTTACAAGAAGATCGGGTCTTCCTTCATCAGTACCACTGACATCATCAAAAGCAGCATCCTTAAAGGAAATAACTGGGACTGAGTCATCTGAGCCCCTGCTAATGGTGTCCTGAGCTTTGAACTCTACCTTGTTCTCAATGGAATTAAAACTCTTAGAAGTGCTGTCCCCATCTGGAAGAGTAAAGAATGGTTTCAAAGGTTCTGATTTTAGACTACACAGTTTTTCTCCAAAATCAAGTCCCAGGAGTTCACTTGTGCTATCCTTACTGTCTATCCTAAAGAACTCCATGGGGCTATTTTTTGATCTACTGAGGGAATCAGAGGTTCTTGGAGAACAAACTGCTTCTGGGTCCTCATCTCCAGGGAAGAACTTCAGGTCGTGGGCTCTCAGCTGAGTGCTAGGGCTATCACTGTCAGCAGCAAGATGTGCTGGAAAGCTCCTACTGGCTTTGGTATCAATGTCATTCCCTTCAGTCTTCATGAGAGGCTCCTCGTTCAAAGACCCTGGTTCAATCTTTTCCTGCCCATATTCATTGCATAATGTTAAATAACTAGTAGTGCATTCTTCTTCTGAACTCGAACCGGAATCTGGCCATTTTGGAGAGCTGTCTTGGCCTTCATCTTCCTGGTTGCTATCATCTTGAGAACTTGGAGTAAGACTAGTCTTCAGAGGCAGAACTTTAAGTGTGCTTCCCCCATCACTTCCTCTGGATTCAAAGCTGCCACTGTCCTGAGAACTACAAGTTGGCTGCTGCCGATGAACTTCAGTAAGTGTGGACTTTTTCACTTCCTTAATGTCAAAGCTTTCTTCAGGACTTCTGTTTAGAAATTTACTAATATATGACCAGAGTTTGCCACCTGTGAACAAGTACAAGCAAAAAAACAATAAGATCTTTAAACAGATATTTAAGCAATTAGAAAAAAAAAAGTATTCTAATAATCATCAAAACCAAGTCAACAATACTCATTAATGTCAAATGTGCTATAAAACAGGCATATTTAATAAAATTTGAAGCTACATTTCAATTTTATTATTGCTAACTGATAAGTATGGTTTCAAGTATTTTTCCTGATATCAAGTACTTTAAAAAAATGACAACCTATTTCTTTCTTTTGAAGGGAAATTAGTTATAGCAAACACTAATATGAAATCTCACAGCTAAAATCTTGCTTTAAGTTAACTCTTATTTAGTCTTAGAAACATCTGATTATGTTCTGGTCTGGTTATGTAATAATTGGTCAAGCAGAAATACATAAATACCATTTGAACTTGTATACTACAATGAAGGAAAAAAATCAACAATATTGTATTGTTCCATTTTGAAAATGCCCAATCCAAGTCAGGCACAGTGGCGCACACTAGTAATCCCGGCAGCTTGGGAGACTGAAGCAGGAAGATTGTGGGTTAAAAGCCAGCCTCAGCAACTTAATGAGACCTAAGCAACTTAGAGAGACTGTCTCTAAATAAAATATTTTTTAAAAGCCTGGGGATGTGGCTCAGTGGTTAAGCACTCCTAGGTTAAAACCCTTGTACCAAAAAAAAAAAAAAAAAGCCAAAAAAATTGAAGGAGAAATTTGGCATCTGGTAATATAATTTGTCTTTAAATGACATTATTTTTCCATCTTATGCTCCCTGATACATGTTCATATGTTATGTAAGCTCAAGTAAAGCCATTGAGAAAGATTAACTGAGTAGCAATTAATGAGGTAAGTTATTATAATTCTGATTCTGTATTCTGATTTATATCTATGAAACTAAACTAAAATCACTTTTGCAGAAATCAAATAAACATAAAATAATTCAGCTTTTTACCAATAATATTTGTTATGTAGTTACTTTACCATTTTTTTGTTTTATTTTAACCATTAAAAATTCAAAATTAGAGGTTTTCTGCTAATTAGAATCTTTATATAAAAACTAGAGTATCAAAACCCCACAAATGCACTGATTAAAAATAATAGTAAAAGAAAGATAATTAATTAAATTTGATCCAGAAATCTTAAAAGCAGTATATAGGGAGGCATACTTTGTAAAGACAGATATAACTGGCTCAGAACATTTTTAGTGTCACTATTAAGCAATATATATCAAATGTAGCTAAATCTTAAAGAAAAGTAACCATTGACAATGAATGGCATGAATAAATCAGCAGTTGCATCCAAAAATTTTGCATTTTACATTTCATTTCTAGAAATTCCATAAATACCCAAATCACTGTGCCTACCACAGAATAAATGATCAGTAAAGGGTAAGTGTCGTAATATCAATCCTAGGATCATCATGCATCTCTTTCTACCAATGATCCAGTTAACAGACTTCCCCATTTTGATAACAGTGATGTAACTTTTCTGTCTCATTTTTTCTTACCTGAAGCTTTCTGTCCTCTTTGGAGTATACTCAATGTTTCCATATGGTTTTTAAATTCACACTCACAAAGAAACTATGCATCAATTCCAGTCTAAAGTCTTTTGACAACAATAACCACATTCTTCTGAGCACACTTACCTAAACTTGGCACCCAAACAATAATGCCTAACCCTGAAGCTGAGATCCTTATGCAATCCAAATAAAATGACACTGTGATTTTTTATTCTCCAGGATGATGACTCCTTTGAGGGAAGGATCAAGTCTTTTTCACCTTTCTATGCCCACTGTCTACATAGTAGGCAGGACATGGAAGGCACTAAGCCAATGTTCAGTCAGTCGATAACACTTCATGAGATGTGCCATCACCACGTACAAGTTTCAGTATCAGCAAGAAACACGACCTGATAAAATTCTAGGAAGTTTCCTTCACTCTTAGGCCAATGTATCTAAAATTCAATGTACTTAAATTCTTTATTTTTGTCCCCCAAATCACATCCTTCTGTCTTCCGAATCACTCTAGCATAAAAGTTTCAGACCAACCTTGAATTTTTTTTTTCTTTGCTCCTCCTACATTTGACAAGTCTCCGAGTCCTATGAGTTCTAGCTATAGTGTTTCTCCCAGGCATCTCCTTCTTTTCATTCCTTTGGTTATTCTGTGCTTCTGGGTATAATGCTTTAGCCACAACTAGACTATAAAGTCCCTACTATATCACTCTATCATACTAATTGTTGTCCAGTTAAACTTCCATTTTAGCCCAGATCTTATCATGCCATTTCTTCATTTAAGAACTCAAATCCCTCTACATATTGAACTATCTACCAACTCCCCATAGGCATTTGAACCCCTGGGTAATACAGTACCAATTCATAATTGGGTCCTCTTCCCCTACTCATTACAGAATTCACTTGAATTAGACATCCCCACATAAACCTAGGCTGGGCTTTTTCTCATTCTACACCTACCACTTAAAATTTTTTCCTATTAGTTTCCTTGAATATCTGCTTGTCAAAATCCTACCCATTCTTGAAAGTGCTTCAGAATCTGTTCTTTTTACCAATTTCTTTGTATCCCTTTACAGGATATATAATTCATATATTTTTCGAATCCTCTACATCATTTGGTCCCTCATATGACATTTACAACATTCTACTTCATATTAATGTTACTTTTATGCTTTTATTATTTCCTTTACCAGATTGCAAGATCTTAATAACTGCAGAGGATTCTACCTAACACTAGTGAGTTAATAAATATTTATTAAACTGAGTAATAACAAGTGGTATCTTCACAATTTTTTAAAATACTTTCAAAGAAAAAGGTGTACAAGTACTAGTAATATCATTTTAGAAGAGGTCACATTTTCTTCCTAGTTTAAAACTAATATAGAGCTTTACTGTAAAACTTTTCAAAAAATACAGAAAAGAACAGGAAAATAGAAAAGACAAAAATTTAAATTATCTGTAATCCCACCACCTAATGATAAACACTATTAAGTCATTACTATACTTACTTTCACATTTCTTAGTCACAAATAACATCATAAACATTTCCTAATTTTCATGAGAAAATGAGCTTGAATGGATATATAGCATATCCATGCAACAGATGTTGTGATACAGTTAAATGTTCTTCTGTTGTACATTTAAGTTGTTTTCAGTTTTTTTACTATAAGAATTACAATAATAAATATTAATACATACAAATATTTGCATTCTTTGATTATTTCATCAGGACAGAATCCCAAAATTGAAAATACTAAATCAAGAAGCATGTTAATGTTTTTGGTACATGTTGCCAAATCACTGTACCTTCTGGTAAGTAATGTATACAGCGCCATCCTGATGGCCAAACTTGCCCATTTCAGATAGTAGCAAGTTTGGGTTGAGAATTTGGCTCACTAGTAGAGCACCTGCCTGGTATGTATGAGGCTCTGGGTTTGATCCACAGACTTAAAGAAAAAAAATTAGAAAGTTTATGCATTTGATAAATCAAGTATGGTATTCTATTTAATTTCCATTGTTCTCATTATTAGATAAATGTTTAAATATGATTGTCAGTGTTTTCTTTATGGAATCTGTTGCTAGACTAAACAAGCACTTTAACATCAATTACAAAAACTGTTATTTTTAAAGGGACAAAACTCTTAGTTCTTTCTCATTCTCTGATGGGTGCTCACTTAAATTTATTATTCCTAATGCTCAATACTGAACTACAAAAACAATATTTTTATCAAATCACATCCCTTTTTCAATTATAAAAAATATAAAATCACATCACCTACAAGAGCACATGATTCTAACTAAAGTGTCTCACCCACAAAATCTGCTTGGGTTTTCACTTTCTGCAGAGTTGAGATCAGGCCCAACATAAAAACTTATACAAATATCACTATTATTATTATTATTATTATTATTATTATTATTATAACATTAAACAACTTTTAAAAACTCTGTTATTGCTAAATCATAAAATATAAATAGAAAACACCTAAAATATTAATAATTTTAACATTTTAAGAATATGTAAATGATATTTTTCTTTTTCTTTTTTCTTTTCTTTCTTTTGTTTTTGTTTTTGTTTAACAAGAGCACAAATTCATCTTATTTATTTTCCATTAGTTTAAATCCTTGAGGGGTACAGCATCACACGGATTCTGTGTCCAATGACCTTAGCAGGAAGGTTGCTTCAGAATTTGTCCTGAACCATGCCACTGTTTCCGTGGCACAAGTTACCTTTCCCCATATTACTCTGGTTTTGTTTGGCTTGCCACCAGGAGTCACTGTGTTGTTTTTTGCTTTGTACACATAAGCACATCTTTTGCCCAAGTAGAACTTGGTTTCATCATTTTGCCCAAGTAGAACTTGGTTTCATCTCTGGCATAAACACCTTCAATTTTTAGAAGAGCTATGTGCTATGTGCTCCCTTTGGTTCCAAAGACCCTGCTTACAGCCAGCAAAAATGGCTTTGCACCATAGCCTTCCAGACATATATGGCTTTTAGAAATCCCGTTGGCCAGCAGGCCTCCACAGGCATTTTTCTAGGCCCTTTTGAAACAAAGTTGCAATTACTGAAGCTTCTTAAGCTATAAAGATAGTAATTCATAAGGGTTAACTAAAATTATCTCCTTACCTCTCATCACATTTTAATTTATTGTCTTTCTACAAGATTGCTCAATAATGTATTAATCTGCTTGACCAGAATTAGGACTTAAAGTTAATATGGATAATCAAATATTGTTATAGCAATGATAAAAATCATCTTTTGACTCAGAAATTCCATTTCAGAACATCGTCCTACAAATAATTTTTAAGAACAAGACAAAATAAGAATGCACAAGGATATACATGTACAAGTACTGGGAACAGTTTTTTAAAAATAATTAGTAAGGGAATAGATAAATTATGGTAAATCTGCACAATCACTTTATATCTACTCGAAAATATCACAGCAATATTTGCAAATACAAGATGTTTACCAAGTACCGAGTCCAAGTCTACGTATTTTGCATTTATCAACCATTTAATTTTCACATCAACCCTATAAAATGGTAGCTAACTATTATTGTTCCTGTTTTGCAGATGAAGAAATTGAGACACAGAAAGGTTAGGGCCCAAGGTTGCACAACTAGTAATAACAAATCAACATTTGTGCTCATATAGCCTGGCACTGAAATCCTTTTTAAACACTACACAACACTGGCTTTCTTAATATAAATCTACTTGAACTCTCAGGGTCCAAGGTACATTGCAAAGATGGGGTGGGGAAAAGCAAGATAAAGACACAATATAATCATCTGTATTTTTAAAAATCAAATAAGTGAAGAGTATATGTTTATACATAGAAAATTTTTGGAAGATGCATAATAAACTGTCAATAGTGTCTATTTCTGGGGAAAAGGTAATTTTTACTTTTATATGCTTCTTTATAGTTTTAATTTATTTGCTTATAGATTAGTTTTATACATTTTTTAAAAAAAACCTAGCTAAAAAGGGAGAATCATCTTACTACTTTGGTCCCTTGGGGAGAAATTCTTTCCCACTACTATTTAGTATGTCAACACTCCAGGGCTTTTACAATCTTTGTTTTTCAGCTTGGCCTTTTTTCCAACAGGCTCAGTACTCTATGATTACACAGAGCATTGACTACACACCAAGCATTCTGCTATAAGGATATGTGAGAAATATTATATAATCCTGATTTTAGGAACTTACACACCTTTCTTCTTCAAATAGAGTTAAGAGGTTAATTTAAAAGAATAAACATTTTAAACCTCTCCCCAAAAATCTTGTCTGTTATATCCCACTTCCTTCTCAACACCACCTGAATAATAAGTACCTACAGAACTGAATCCTGCATTTTTTCCTTCTAAATCTATTCCTTCCACAGCTTAGTAAATGGAAAGTCCATTCTTTCAATTATTTAAGCAAAAAACCTTAAGAGTTATGTAAGGCAGAATCATGCCAGTTCTACCTTCAAATATAGTCAGACTCCAGTAACAATCCCACCACCACCACTACTAACTATGAATATGGTTATAAGTATGCCTCCCAAAGATTAAGGTGTTGGAAGTGTGGTCCCCAGGGTGGCAATGCTAACAAGTGGTAAGACCTTAAAGAGTAGAACCTAGTGGGAGGTCCTGAAGTCACTAAGACCAAAGTCCCCCACTGGATTCCTGTCTCACCACATTATCTCTTGTTTTCATACACACTCCTACTACTTTAATACCATGCACCATGAGGACCTTACCAGACCAAACAGATTTTCGCACCATGGCCTTGAACCTCCAGAACTACAAGGTAAATAAACCTCACTTATTTATATAATACGCAGCCCAGGATATTTTGTTATAATAACAGAAAATGAACTAATACAAAAACCTGTCCAATCTGCCATGATTTTCATTTGAATTGCTGTAACAACCTCCAAGTTGTTCTCCCTGGTTTTGCCTTTGCCCTCCTATGTTCTATTTTCCACAAAACAGTCAGAATGATTTCTATATTGTCATTCCTTTGCTCAGTATCCCCCAATGACTTCCTATCTCATTTAGAGTACAGTCAAGTTCTTAAAGTTGCCTATGAGACCATACAGAATCTGCCTGTCCTCCTACTCACTCCTCTAAACTCAGCCCCATCTCTTCCCATTCTCTCTAGTCACACTTGTCCTGCTACTTCTTACACACCAAGCACTCTTCTGAGCTTATGCACTCTTTTCTCTCTTGCCAAGACATTTTCCCTCACATATTCCCTCACATTGCTCCTCCTAATTTCCTTCAGGTCTCAGGTCAAATGTGCCTTTCTCAATCAAGTGACCACCCTATATAAAACAGCACCGCTCTGACAAGTCCCTTCCCTCCTTTTCTTAATTTTCTCCTTAGTATTTATCTCCAGCTGACACACATTCATTTACATACTTGTTGTCTGTCTGTTCCACCTCTACACAATGGAAGCTCCATACAAGCAGAGTCTTTGTTTTAGTCATTGTCGCACTAGAACTTCACCTGGGCTCCAGTAAGCACTCAATACATTTCCAACTGAATGAATTAAAAACAGAAAAGAAAATGAATTCAAGAGATTCAAATAAATTACAGACAGTTCTGTAAGTAGTAGGAGGTTAAAGCTACAAATCATAAATATTTAAGCATTGGTAACATGGAGAAAACTGTTCAAGATTAACTTTTTCAGTAATAACTATTTATACATATGAGAGTGACTTGTTTTTACCATCTTCACACAAAATACCTCAGAAAATAACCACTGAGACATCATCCAGTTCACTCCCTTGCTCGAGCCAAATCTGAGAAATTACTACAGACTCTTCTCTCCCTACTCCCAAATCCATAACAGCTCCCTCTGACACTACCCTTAGGACATCACCACTGGCACGCCAGCAGGCCATGCCCTCAGCCTCTTTCACCCAGACTCCTACATTAACCTTTCACATCTCAGTTCTTGGCTTTCTAAGACTCATTTCCCAAACAACAACCAGAGTGGCCTTTTTAAAATGCAGACCAGATCCTATCACTGCTCAACATGTCTAGTGATTCCCAATGCACTTGAAGAAAAAACGAAGTCCTTACCCTCTGCACAAGCTCCTGCCGCCTTCTCCAGTGCCCTCCTGTACCAGTGCTGTGTTCACCTACTGATTCAAACCAAATGGCCTCCTTTTTGGTTATCAAACATCCTGAGTTTGTTTTTACACTGGTCCCTGTACCAGGACCTAATGTTCAAAGGATGGTTTCTCTTGCCATTCAGAATTCCTCTTAAATGTCACCTTCTTAGAGAATTTCCTTGATTTCTTAATAGAAAGAAACCTCAGTTGTTCTCGGTTAGATCTCCCTGTGTTAAAGATCAGGGTCATGCCATTAATCTACTGCATTTTGTTTTTCTGCTTGTCCTCCACAACAAGAATTTAAGTTTCACAAGGGCAGGTTCTATTTCTATCTTTTTCACCTAAAATGAGCTAACTACATAGTACATGCTCAGTGAATTGGTTGAGTAGCAAATGAATTGAGAATTCCTAGTAGCCCCACAATTTACTATTTTTTGTATTCTAAACCCTTCTTAAAATTAAACAATAGATATCTAAAAGAAACAATCAAAAGATATGCTGCTTCCAAGTTTAAATAATTCAGGCCAAATTATATAGTCATATGTCCATCCAAAGTCAGATATGGTCAACAGTAAGGAGAAAGAGACTTAGTAAAGATTATTTATAACAGCAGAAAACTTGAAGGTCCTATGTCTATGACTTTAAGACATTATAAAATTATAAAGTAAAATCAGTTTTAGCTCTAAGCGGTATAAGGGAAGGTAGAAGATGACAGAAGAAAAACTAACATATGATTTGGAGAAGAAAGAAGAAGAAGAGGAGGAAGATACAGCTACAAATAACAGAGGTAAGCTAGGATTGAAAATGTACCACAGATAATCTCCAACATGAATAATCCACACTGGGTAATAGAATATTGACTATAATTACATTCATCCTACTGACCTTGTTCTAAATTATTATGGATTATTACTACGCAAGTTATTTTGTTCCACACCAGAGGTGGCTGTATTTCGCTATCAGATGACATGACCTCTAATTCAATAATGTCTGTAATGCACTGGTATCCTCAGATAAAAGCTGTCTATAATGTCTGAACAAAGGTGAATTAGTTATCCAATTCACACACGCAATTAACTCTCTTAATACCTGTGAGACCATGGAGCCCCTTCTGAATTTCCTATTAAATACTGCATATGGAGGTCTTCCCTCCATCTGTAGTTATCTTGTGCTGTACTTCATAATAAACAATATTAATAGTTTATTGCCCCCATCAAAAATCTTGCATTAGTTATCATAAGAGACCTCATTCCAGAAGCAATGACTCCTTTTCCTCAGAAAATTATTAAATTTGGATGTTATGCCAATTGGTAAAGCACAATAGTTCTTTATTCTCAGTAATATAAAAATAATAATGTCTCTATGAAATATAAAAAATAATTAATTTTTTACTGTTTTTAAAAATATCTCTTAAAAACACCAAAAGATCATTTATATGAAAGGCATTTATATTTATATGCTGTATTAAGTCATTCTTAGTAAAAGACTATTTAAATTCAGGTGTTCACAGGCAAAACCAAATCAAAACATAATATTTTTTGCCACCTGTTCCCTCCACTAATAGCTAAAATTTCATAAACAGTTTGAAGGCAGAGCCCCATGCTTCTGCTTTGTACACATATGTGATGCCAATGGCTGTATTCATAAAAACTCAGATCAGAATAACAAGGTAATGTCAAATGTTAAGCAAATACCCTGGCCTTCTATAAAAAGGAGGTAATTAATTAATTCTTCAGGGGATGCTTTTCATTTTCGTCATCTAACATAAATGTATCTTTTTAGCAGAGAAAAGAGAACCAAATAAAATCCCTAAAATAATGTCTAGCTCTCTTAACGTGCATTCACATTAAAGTTCTAATTATATTAGATAAATCCTATGAGAAACTAGGAAAGAAAGTATGCCTAAGAATGAATGGTACTGTATATAGTTCAAAAGAAATCTGCTGTGCACCCAAGTTTTCGTTTTCCTTCCCATCTCTAAGTGGGAAGGCAGAGCAGAGGAATGAGCAAACAGCTTCTCGTATGTGTTTCACATAAGAAAGATGTTATGGAAACTAGAAAGCTAAACAGGTGACGTTCTTCACTACATAAACAATCTAACTGCAAACCAACCTTCTGCATGCTGCAGCACAAGAAATACGGACTCCTCAGAGATGATGTACTTGTGCAGACACACCATGTTGGGCACACAGCGGGGGATGATGGTCTTTCTGTTCCTGCTGTATTCACTGCTTTTCCTTAGACCCTGACAGAGAACAAAAAGGTCAGTTGTACCCTCAGTTGCCTTTGGAGCCTGCTGTGCTCTGTGTTTATCAACCAAACTAATCTATCCGAGTTACTCCGGGCTTCAGAGAAACCACTCATCTGCTGCTCTATGCCCCTCAGTCCCTGGAGGCTGTGCTGATGGCATCTGGCGTGAATCCAGAGAACGGAAGATGCCACAAAGCTGCCATTAAAATCAATTACGTGGGTCAGTGTTTTTATTAGAGATGCTCTCAAACTAAGTCATCAGGATGACACACAGTTATTTCTCTATGACCTTTTAAGTTTGATTTTACTTATGTACATCTTTAAAACAGGAGACGTTGTGAGATCAATTCAAATTCCTGGGACACAAAAGATATTCCTACTAGATTAAACCAACAACTTGAAAATTCTATTCCAAAATAGTACAAAGATTATTATAATACCTCCAAGAGAACAAGTGTGTGTGTGTGTGTGTGTGTGTGTGTGTGTGTGTGTGTGTGTGTGTTCTAGAATCAGACTCTGGTTTCAAAGACTGAGGAAATGTCAATGATAAAGTATATTCATAAAAAGCAATGTGTTTCAGTATGTGTCAATGTGACCTACTGCCATGCCTTATCAGCAAAAAAGAAGTATCAGGAAAGGAAATATAAAACTAATCAAAGCATCTTCTGGATGCTATGGAAATGCTTAAATTAAAATAGTTTCAATATATACCATCACAATTAATTCCAAAAACAATTATGAAATTGAGGAATTTTATCATCTTTTTCGTTTAGTTATAAATTGAGTTAGATCAAAATGAGAGCCAGGGATGTAGATAACACTTTCCCAAATACCTGGAACAAAATTTCAGTTCTGAAGAAGTCATAATAAAAAATGAGACTGTGTATGATATTCACAAATTACACAAAATTTATTAGAGATGTATTTAAACTACACACTACACATTTAAACAACACAAAGATTATTCTTCAATTGATCTAATTTATTTCCTCCCTATTTCAGAACATAAAACTTTTTTTAAATCTATGCTGCAGGACATTTATCAACTTGATGAAAGGACAGGAAAATAAATACAGATCACTACAAACACAAAAACATTAAGACAGCCATACACACAAAAATTAAATCTTGTCTTTCAAAAGCACAATGTGAAAGTAAATTTGAAAATTCAAATTCTACTTACTTTTAAAATGAATGTCTGTTCTGTCCTTGTGTCCATTACAAGTAAAACCTATATAAAAATATAAGTAATAATTTAATCATAACACCATAAAACATTAACTCTACTTCTGGAAACTAAGAATTTATTAATTTCAGAATAGCTTGCTTTTAAATCCCCAAATCACAGGATATAAATAGTCTTATTCAAAATAGATGCTGTTATAATTTCCTTTCCAAAAATACCATATTTTAGAAACATCTCTATGTGTCCTAAATGTATTTTTTAATGAATTTCTTAAAAGGAAATATTTTAGACAAAGAGTTTTCCCTCATGGAACACAAATGGTGAGAAAGAAATATTTTTAAAAAAAACAAACTTAAATTAAAAAGAACGAAATTGTTCAAATCTCAGCTTTCTTTCCCAAACTTCACATGCAGCAACTTGGTATAATGTGATCTTGATAACCCGGGCCTGGCCACCACCTCAGGTATCTGTTTGGTACTGCTTCTCTACTCTAGACCCATCCTCAAATCATTTTCACCATCAGCAAATTCTGTCAGCTCTATCCTTAAAATAAATCCAGAATTCAAACTCCCCTCACTACGTCTAGCTTTACCTGATACAAGCAAAGATCAACTCCTTTCTCGCTAGTAACACTGGCCTCCTGCTTCTATCTTTGCTGCCCTGTGATCTATTCTCCAAATGGCAGCAAAGGTTTCCTGTTTAAGACATAACTTAGATCATGTCGCTCCTCTCGTCTTACTGAGAGAAAAAGTCTAACTCCATAAAATGATGTCAAGATCCTTCATGATCTCACACAGTGCCACCTTGAACTGTCACCCACTTCCATCTTGATGACTAGAGGAATGAACAAAGAAATTATCCCGCCATGTTAATTTTTATTATTATTATTTCTACATACTATGGCAATGGTTGGCAAACTTTTTCTTCAAAGAGCCAGGTATTTTAGGCTTTACAGGCACATGTGGTCTCTGTTGCTGCTTTCCCAATCCGCCACTGTGGCACAAAACAGCCCAATCCTGGAAATGGCCAGGGGAGGGAGGAGTATTTACACCACCAAAATCAGCAAATGCTGCAAATGGGGTCTTTTTTCTCTTTCAAAAGAGCTGGCTGTCAAACATTTACTAATCCCAACTGAAAGAGGAGGGAGAGAAATCAATGATGAAAGAAAAAGTTAAGCAGGGGAAAATAAAAGAATGGTGAGAAAAAACAAGGAAGTTAAGACAGGAAACTAGTTTGAAAAGATGGAAAATCCCATTTCAGACATGATGAACTTGAAGAAAGTGACAACTTCATCTTTGACCTCTCTTATGAGTATCTGACCTATACCATTTCAATATCCATTTAGTTGCAATAGAATATTAACACAAGTACCTGATGACTATATCCCTTCCTTTTCCCCAAACCCTGCCCTCACCAAAAATAAAACAAAGTTACTGTTCTTCCCCCATAACAGTACCCTCCATGAAAACTCCCAAATCCAAGACTTCCCTAAGTCACTGTGAATTCCCATGTCTCCTACCTTCAGAACCAGTGACCAATTCTACTTCGCAAGTACTACTCATAACTAGCCTCTGTCTCTTTACCTATGATATTTTAATTATTTACTATGTTCTATGTTAATCCTTTCAACAACCCAATGAGATAATTTTACATTCCCATTCTACATACTAAAGACATTATAGCTTCACAGGTAGAGCCTGTGATGGTAGCTAACAATAGTATTTACCATTTGTGAGGATTTCAAGGAGACAGTCTTACAAAAGTACAGCCAGTGGTTAATATTGCTATCACTATTATTGCTATTTCTCTGGGAAATGTTCCCACAGCCACTTATCAAACAAGTACTCATCTTTCCATATTCAGCTCAAATATCACTGTCTCTCTCTCAATAACACTGATGACTTTCTTCCTTTGTTCTCCCATTTTATACAGTACTGACTTCTACTTCAGTATCCCTAACCCTTCAATTTGGTTTTATTTGTTCACCTGTTTTTCTCTCAACCCAACTTTAAGCTCTTTAAGGGATTGTCATAGGCCGAATAATGACCTCAAAGATGTTCATGCCCTAAACTCCAAAATCTGTGAATAGGTTATGTTATGGTAAAGACAATTTTCAAGATGTAATGAAGAGGCAGGCCTTAAAATACAGAGATTGCCCTGTATTATATCTTAGTGGATTTCATCAAATCACTCGAACTTTTAAAAACAGAGAACTGTCTCCTGCTAGAAGAAATGGAAAGCACAGAAGTGATGTGGCAGAAGAAACAGAGATCGGAGACTAAGAGGGAAGTATGGTTGCTGGCTTTGGAGACCACAGGTCAGAACCAAAGGGAAGAAGCAAGGAGCTTACAGAGAGCCTGAGAAGGAATCCACAGGCAACTTCTAGGAGCAAAGAGCAGCTATCAGCTGCCAGCCACCAAGGAAACAGAGTTCAGTCCTACAACTGTGAAGAGCAGAATTCAACTAACTTAAATGAGCTTGGAAGCAGATTCTTCTCCAGAGAGTTCAGTAAGAAATACAACACTGTTGGCACCTGTGTCGCATCACTGATCTACAGAACCCTGAGATAATAAATTGCATGGCTTTAGGCTGCCAAATTTGTGCTAATAGCAGTAGAGAAGAAACTATTTCTTCTATTACAGAACATATTGTAAATGTTCAATAAACTTATAATTAGTGAATTCTGGTCTAAAAGTCTGGAAAATACAAGACAAAATGGGAGTGGGGGGTTGGGGATGTGGCTCAAGCGGTAGCACGCTCGCCTGGCATGCGTGCAGCCCGGGTTCGATCCTCAGCACCACATACAAACAAAGATGTTGTGTCTACTGAAAACTAAAAAAAAATTTTAAAAATTTTAAAAAATGGGAGTGGGGTTTAGAAAATAAGTTAGGACTTATTTTCTATTATTAATAAGGACTATACATTTATATTTAAGCACTCTCCATAAAGATAAAAGCTAAACACATGAGAATGGACCCTACCTGACTAATGCCTCCCTTATACTACCAAAGTTCTGGGTTTTAAGAAATTTAATTGCATAAACCAAACAGGTTTTTTAAAAATTTGTTGGGGGTGGTGGTGGATTGAACTCAGGGGCACTCAACCCCTGAGCCACATCCCCACCTGTATTTTATATTTTATTTAGAGACAGGGTCTCACTGAGTTGCTTAATATCTCACTGTTGTTGAGGCTGGCTTTGAACTTGTGATTCTCCTGCCTCAGCCTCCCAAGCTGCTGGGATTACAGGCATGGGCCACCATGCCCAGCTCCAAACAGGTTTTTATTAATCAATTTTGTGGATGAGGAAACAACGACAAAACTGTTAATCTACCTTGTGCACAGAGAAGTCGTAGAGGCAAAATTTAAATCTAGGCAGTTGACTCCAGAGTTCTTCCTCTTTAACTAGTAAGTTATAACATATGTAAACAATATATTGTCGTATTTATATCTGAATTTTGAAAGTTATACACAGTTGGAATATTGTGGGTAGATAACACAACAACCAAAAGTTTAGTGAGAAAAGTACAAAGAAAACTAGGAAAAGAGAGTGGTTCAGATGCCATAGAAAGAGAACACTTAACGTGAGAGTAATTATCCCAGCAACTGAGAGACAACTTGAAGAACAAGGACTGAAAAATGACCACAGTCCAAGGCAGTGAGAAATGGAGTAAAATGCGAAAGACAGAGGCCACACTGCCCTGATGAAAAGAAAATGGGGTTGACACATGTAAATCTTTCAGTAGAAGTAAGTCAGAAGGAGGAAAAACACTAAAATAAAAGTGTTGGTGGGGACATCAGTTCAAACAAAGGTTTAGACTTTGATTGTTTTCAGATAGAACAGACCTATTCTGTCCTCAATTGCCCTTTGAGCTATATTCACCAAAAATCTGAACCACCAAGGCATAGAAATGCTTCCATAAAACCTGCACATTAAAAGAACATACCATGAGTGCAAATGGAGGCACCGTGAACCTCTCTACAACACAAGGCTCAATAAACAGCTATGTCTATGAAGACATTTAGTGTTCCTTTTTACATCAAGTTGTGGCCCTTTCAAGTCACTCGCGGGAAAGCCAGTCAAGTTTGAATAAGGCACATCTACATGAATAGAAAACATCTTACTAGGTAAAAGGTATGGAAGCCACACAATCAAAGAAAACAGCTTCTTTTTCCTACCATACGCCTCATGGAGTGAACAGAATATACCTGCATAAATCAGAAGTGATATTCCTTTGCTGGTCTCACTTAGCCATGAAGCATGAAGCGCATCAGATAAAAAGGCCAAATTAAGATGGATAAGCATGGCTGGGAAGTGCTATGTTGTTTACATTTACTTTCTTTTCCTACCAAGTTTGTTTGCAACTAGACAACATTCACATTGAGACAATAAACACAAGAACATATGTGATTTTTTTTAAATGTGCCCTTTGACTGTCAATTTCTCCCAAACAGGTGTTGGCTAAATGATTATAAATTGGCCTCTGGATACACCTCTTCAACTGAGCCGTACAGGGCTGGTGATAATATAATTAGATCTAAAAACATCAGGCTAGTGAATGCTTTCCATCTGTTTGGCAATAATGTTTAGTTAACAATAGTCTTTAAAAGAAGCACCTTCAGCTTCAGTTCTTAAAGTTATTTATAGAGCCATTCTTAACACACCAGCACTCTTGCTAACAAGAGCTTTAGCCACTTAGAAATTATTAGCCATACGGCTGTACACAAAGAGAAACGGCTGTATACAGAGAGAAATGACTGCATTTAACATCTGTATCTTTCCAAATTTACACGCTTCAACCTCATTTAGAGCCATTTCTTAATGAACAGAGCTATGGCGCTGCATTAATATTATAGTTGCATGCACAAAGATCATAAGGAGCCAAACATTTTTTTTAATGCCAACAGTAGGCCAATCTGTAATGAAACTGTCAGCATAAAGGACAAAATAATAGCTTCTTTAACCCTCAAACAGAATTTGTTCATTTGTGGACTAGAACACATCAATTTAAAAACTGCTCATGGGTTTGTTCACCTTTATAAAGACA